GATTGTTGGGCGAAAGCGGTGATATTGGAAAATCGGAGGAACTCGAAACCTGCAGAGTATCAATGGGAGAGCGCAGCCGGACACTCTCAAGCAAACATTGGTAATCAATGGTCTTTTATGTCTTCAGTGGACTGCGAGAATTTCGTGAAATGTTCGATCTATATTTTTCGAGGATCGCAAAGATTCGTTTATCGGTCAATCACGTGACCGATATCTTCAACTTCAATATGTGTGAAGATCAATTCTCGCCGCAATATCAATTCAACTTCAAGGAGGATCCGTTAACCCGGGAATGAATGACTTGACGACGAAACGAGTTGACGAAGCCTTGCGATCACCGACTTAATCGCCCCTAAAACACTTATAGATTCCCGCTTAATATAACGCAGCCATGGTTCTTCAAGATCTCGGGCGGCGCATTAACTCCGCCGTTAATGACTTGACGAGGTCCAGCTCACTCGATGAGAAGGTACGATGAGTTTCCCCTGTGCGCGACTGTGGCCGTCTTGCTAACTCGATGTGTTTCGCTTCCTAGGCTTTTGATTCTATGGTAAAGGAGATTTGTGCTGCGCTTCTCTCTGCCGACGTCAATGTTCGCCTCGTCCAGTCCCTCCGAAAATCAATAAAAAATGCGGTCAACTTCTCTTCCCTCCCTGCGGCGGTGAATAAGAAACGGTTAATTCAGAAGACTGTGTTTGATGAGCTCGTGGCTCTTGTCGACCCCCATGCCGAACCCTTTAAGCCCAAGAAGGGGAAGTCCAATGTCATTATGTTTGTGGGGTTGCAGGGTGCCGGTAAAACGACGACATGTACAAAGCTGGCGAGGCATTATCAGACCCGCGGGTTCAAGACTGCCCTTGTCTGCGCAGATACCTTCCGTGCCGGTGCTTTCGACCAGCTGAAACAGAACGCCACCAAGGCGAAGATCCCATACTACGGAAGCTTGACGCAAACAGACCCAGCAGTCGTTGCAGCAGATGGTGTGTCGAAGTTTAAGAAGGAGCGATTTGATATTATCATCGTCGATACCAGTGGTAGGCATAGGCAGGAGGAGGATCTATTCGCTGAGATGACCCAAATCCAGACTGCTATTAAACCAGATCAGACCATCCTGGTATTGGATAGCACGATCGGGCAGGCTGCTGAAGCCCAATCCTCCGCTTTCAAAGCTACCGCAGATTTCGGAGCTATTATCATAACCAAGACGGATGGACATGCCGCGGGAGGAGGAGCTATCTCGGCAGTCGCTGCAACCCGCACACCTATTATTTTCCTTGGTACCGGTGAACATATGCTCGATCTGGAACGGTTTGCGCCAAAGCCATTTGTACAAAAGCTACTTGGCATGGGTGACATGGCTGGATTGGTTGAGCACGTCCAAGCTGTAACCAAGGATTCCGCCACAGCAAAGGAAACATATAAACACATCAGCGAGGGTATATTCACTCTACGCGATTTCAAGGAAAACATCACTTCAATCATGAAGATGGGACCCCTCTCTAAGATATCTGGCATGATCCCGGGTCTTTCAGGTATTGCCTCCGGGCTCGACGATGAGGATGGTTCGATGAAACTTCGTCGAATGATTTACATTTTCGACAGTATGACCGCAGCCGAACTCGATGGGGATGGCCGCGTCTTCGTCGACCAACCTAGCCGCCTTGTCCGTATCGCCTGCGGAAGCGGCACCTCAGTCCGTGAAGTTGAGGACTTACTATCACAACATCGGATGATGGCGGGCATGGCGAAGAAGGTTGGCGGTCAGAAGAAACAAATGCAAAGGGCCCAGAATATGCTCAAGGGAGGTAATAAAGATCAGCAGATGGCTGCGATGCAGAAACGTATGGCTGCTATGGGTGGGGCTGGTGGAATGCCTGGTGGCGGGATGCCGGGGATGGGTGATATGCAGAAGATGATGCAGATGCTTCAGGGTGGTGGAGGCGGTGGGGGGATGCCTGGGGGTGGGATGCCTGGGCTTGGGGGTATGGATTTGCAGAGTATGATGAGCCAGATGGGTGGGATGATGGGTGGAGGAGGGCTTGGGGGAGGTGGTGGTGGAAGCAGCAGGGGAAGGGGACGGTAACCAGCTGTGTTACATACAGTAAATACTTTGCGGTTGATCTGCGACTCGGGCAGTTGGCGTTTTGATTATTATTAGATGGTTACGATACGTGTTTTTATTCAGCATGGGATAGGCGTTAAAATTGGGTGGGCAAAGGCTTCGATATCACCCTTCTTTATACATTATTTCCCTTCGATTTTGATTTAAATATGCTTACCCGTGAAGGACAAAAAAAAAAACCATTTGTATTCAGGACTTTTCTCTACGCACTCATCTATATGCCACTTGGGGAACAAGGAAATAAACGAAGTCAGGCGAAGTGTGGACGTAAAGGACCCATCGGGCCTAATCAGCCCTTTCTCCCTTCATTATACCACCCAGCGTCTCCCACGCCATACTTTTCCCCTTCTTTAATACACCTTTCACCAGCACCTCAAATTTACCCAAAGCATCCGCAATCCCCAGCCCCACAGGGACTATATCATGCAAAACAACTCCATCCGGAAGGCTTCTATCCTCAGTCATGGGAGCCTCGAGCGGAACAGAGAGTTGATACTTCCACACAACTTCCCCATCAACGTAGAGGGAGTAGGTGAGTACCGAACTGGCAGGGGCTGAGGAGCCCCCATCGTCAACATCGATATCGATAAGTCCAAATTTGCTGTTTCCGTCAGGGACGTATTTGATGGCTACATCCTCGTCGTCGTACTGTCGGTATGTGCGGACGGGAAGGTAAAACATGCTGAGTGGACCGACGCTGAATTCGTGGACACCGGGTCCACCTACACCCGAGCCTTCGGCGTGGTCTTCATGGCCATCCTCTCCTGGTGTAGAGGTTAATTTCTTTGGTTCCGGGAACCTTGTCGCCCCGAACTCGTGCCTATCTCCGCTCAACAAGATGATTCGAACCCCCAAGTTTTGTTCTGCGTGCCACATAGCCTCGAAAACCTTACGGCGTTCATTGAGGAAACCGCCCCATGTGTCTTCTGTGCCGATGTGCCAGTTCTTCGTGAACGGAACGCTAGAGGCGACTATCTTCCATTTCACTCCGGCTGGTTCCGGGCGGGAGAGATAGTCTAGGAGCGAGTTTAGCTGGCTTGTCCCGAGCATCGTTGAGTCCGGCTGAGAGGGGTTGGAACGGTAGGTCCTTGTGTCTAATATGAAGAAGGATGCAGGGCCGTGGATGAAAGAGGAGTAGGTGGTGTTCGCTGGGTTTGCGAAAGGTGTGGCGGGGATCGGTGGGTTGACGCTCAAGTGGTAATGGGAATAGGGCTCTGCGGCCGCCGGGTATGGCTCAGTGACATTTCCTTCGTGCCAGTCATTCCCGATTTCATGGTCATCCAAAGTGTGTATCCACGGGAGGTCAATTGGACGCTCTGGTCCTTTCTGCCATGTTGGCGAAGAGTATACACGGCGATATTCGCTTCTATAGTGAGATGCTGATGACCCGAAGCGGAAAGGAACATCGATGTATATGAAATCTCCAAGGAAGAGCATGAAAGCCGGTCGGTTTACTGATGGCAGTTTTGCAATCGCACTAGTTAGAAGTTCAACTCCTGGGAGTCGAAGTGGATGAGAGAGTGGATTGTAAGGGAAATTGGGCTTTATACAGCTAGATGTAACGAACGAGAGTCTCTCCGAATTACGGGATCCCGGCCAGGAAGCTGTTGAAAATACCCCTTTTTGATTGTTAGAGATGGAGTATCGATACTGTGTAGAGGGTTTTAGGTTGTCCAATGTCACCGGGACAGTGTAGTCGGTAGAGTTAGCGAGGGCAAATATCTCCTCTGCCTGGACCCATGGATTATCAGGCTTTTCGGCTCCATGTTCAGCCTCCTGGTAGTAGACGTATAACGGAAGCTGTGATTGGTCTGGCTCCCGAATGAGAATCTTCGCAGTTGTCGGGGACACATATCCGACACGAGAGAATGCCAAATCGCTTTTAGGGTATAATATCACCCCGCGAAGGAGAAAGTCGAGAGTGAGAATACTCAAGACCACGTTGACACCGATCGTAAGCAGAGTCGCCGTTTTCGAACGACGCGAGGGCAGGCCTGTGAGAAGCGTTGTCACAACAGACCCTACACATCCCGCCGTCAAAGATGCTGCACCGCTATCCCCCCGTGTATCGCCATTTCGATCCCCCGCTTTCCCTGCTTTCGCGTCCCTTCCTTTGTCATTTCGTCCTTTCTGTTTAGCTCGGGATTCATCGAGCGTTGACTGTCCGCTCAGCGCCCAAATCGAGGTCAAGTATATGCCCAAAAAGCTTAATACTAGTGGCGGAAAGTGATGCCCTGGGATCTGTTGTCATGTTAGGACCCGGTGATAAGAAAGGCAGAGGTGTAGAGGTCCATACCCATTGAAGAAAAACGTAAGCGAAGAACCTAACTAACGAGGAGCTGGCCACAGCTACCAAGCGCAGAAGGCATTCCATTTTGCTCTAGAGCTTTCCCAAAGCTGTAGCAGGCTTATATGAATAAGTTCATTGCAGTCACGATGAATGCGCCAGCTTATGTGGTGGATGGAGTTTACTTAGTTGTTCTCAATACTCGTACTTCGTTCTTCGTACTTAAAAATAAGCAAAGCTATGACGACATCTCGCATTCTCTATCCACAGGACAAGAGCAGAACATGATTGAATATAAATGCTCGATCTGAGCAACTAATTCACTCCTATTATTTGCGCCATGTTTTAATTTCTCCTTTCTCTCATTCACAATGCAACCTGGCCGGTCAGTTACTACAGTAAAAAAAAGAATGAAGTAGGGCCTCGAGACCTGCGGATCTGCAATCCGACGCTCTAACGCTGAGCTACCAACCCATACTCTATTGGTTATCAGTCCATAAAAGACTAGTAGCCTGATTGCACGCATGGGACTCTGAATTATATGGGAGTTTTGTGGAAATACGGCCTCCAACAGTCCCAGTAGCGATTATAGGCCTGGTGGTGCAGTGGTCAGCACACGCGGAATGACACGCAGGGAAACCTGTGCCCTCCGGGGGCTCGCAAGAGCCTGGGTTCGATTCCCAGGCCAGGCAAAAAATTTTAAACTGATCACTGGCCACACGTCGGGACGGGGCCAGGTGGGTGGCCTAGGTGTATCTCCTTAACTGTTTCCTCTCTCTTTGTTAGCTTGGCACGTCCCTATACCCCACGGGAGGTGACGGGGGGCGCCCCCCTGGACGATAAATACAACAACAACAACAGCAGCGATTATCAGCATCATTCACAGATTCTTGCAAATTTATTTTTGCATGCCGTATTTCTAGGGATCCTTAACCGAAATGTTTCTTCTGCCCTGCTCATATCCCCCGACTTGGGTATCTTAATCGTTCGCAATCTAGGTTAACCCACGCTAAGCCTCTCCCATATATCTGCCATGCATGTATCCAACATTCATCATCATTGTACTTGTGTATGTTTCACCGAGATAGATACACTTCTGTCTATTTTAGAGGCTTAGCGACACCAGTCTTCTTATCGCCACTGGCGACGCCAACCAGATTCCCATATTTCAACGTGTTCATGGTGGCTGAGAATTGTTCCAATGAAGGCGCAACCGTGAGAATAATAGCAGACTGGCTCTCTTTGGAACCTTGAAAGTGCTCTCGCAAGACCATCGTTAACGGCGCTGACCGATACGGTATTCGCGCCTGATGTAAGGCTCGAGCGCGTATAACTTCCTTCAGGGCGAGTAGATCTGTGTTGATCTGACGTCCTTCCTGCTTTTCTTGCGGTGTCTGCTTCGGCCCGTGTGCTGAAGAGGTAATTTTCTCGGAAAAGTATTCTGACCCAGCCAGGTCCACAAAGACAAGTTTGCCTCCAAGGCAAGATCCGTGCGGATGACCATGGTATACTTGAGCTTCGTTATCTTCCGCACTTTTAACATAGGATTCGAATTCTGCCTTTTTAGCTTCGGCGGCATCGATCCGAGCTTGGTCCAGCGGTCTGTCTGGATTGTCAACGTATTTGCCGTTGGCGTCCTTAATGAGAGCCTGCTGATATTCCTTCAGGTAAATATCCGTCGCCCGTTTTGCCACGGGTACGAGTTCTGATTGACGCTCAATGACAGCATCCCGGGCATCAAGAAGTGCTTTGCTCACAATCTCAAGTTCTAAAACAGCGTGGGTTCTCGAACTTTGATCGTGTACCGCGGACGTACCAGTTGCCCGGAGTTTGAGACCAACTTGCAGCTCACGGCGTAGATCTTCAAAATCCCAGCATGCCCGAGTAGCAATTGGTCTAACTCTGACCTTTCCCCCTTCTAGCATCTCTGTTTCACCCCTTATATGGGTTCGCCCGTCATAACCCTCACGCACATGGCATTGCCGACGGCCGTTGAGAAGATCAAACGCACTATTCTTCCGCAATTCGAACATACGTATGCCGAGGCCCAATCGATCATTATCTCCATTCTCGTCTGATCCATTGATCCGATCAAGCTTCTCGCAAAGATGCCGAGCCGCAGATAAACATAGACCTAGCTCATCAATGTTTTCATAGTCATACCCTATAATAGTATGCGATTTACCACTCCCTGAGTGACCGTAGGCAAAAAAATTACAGGTACGCCCCTTGAGAACATGGGGTAAGTTTGGGGCCACAACCTCTTCGAAGACGGCTTTGTTGTTGTCGTGGGTCTCGAATACTCGCGCAAACGAAGCGTCGCTTTTCCACGGACGGTCATTATTCGAAGGAGGACCAAGAGACATTGATAATCGTGAATTTTCACATTGGGTAACTTCACGCTTAATCTCTGTTGACTCCCGGTTTTCGCAGAGAGGTCGCCATCTAGCGAAGACCTTGAAGGGCTGCATCTCTGCCTTTGAACGAACACTCTAAGTTCTTGAAGGGTGCCTCTTTCAAACTAGAACACTTTGATACTTTGTTCGACGGATGGAGACGTGTAAAACCTTTTTCTACCGTAGTGAGGATTCCGGCAACGCACTCATACGAGAGGATCAAGGTTATTCCGGGACGCATGAATGATCTCGAGCGATTGCTGCAAGATAGATCATATTAGAACAGATCAGAAGTAAGAGAATCATGATGAGAACAAACGTCAGCCACTCTTTTGAAATTGATTGTCGGACAATGTGCATGATGGGGTACAGGAGAGAGCGGAGAATATGGAAATCAGGTGAAAGACGGCCGGCCGTAAACAGCCTCAGTAGCGGTCGTTTTCGGCATCACTTTCACAGATCCTCACATTCTAGTTGCAATTACTTTGTTCTTCGTTCTTAAAAATAGGGGAAAGCTATGGCGGCATCTCTCATCAACCTCTCTCCTATTAAAAACCGGGCACCTGAGACTCAAACATATTCGTCCTAGGTAGGTATGCGAAGCGACCTTAGTCCTTGGAGGGATACTACGGACAAGGCCGTCTCATAAAGCTCTTTTAAACCCATGCTTAAAGACATACAGGCAGCCCATTCCCAAGGTCTGGCAGCTTCCCCAGGCAGAGAATTGAAGTATTCCCAGCCCATAACTCCTCCAAATGTGGGGTATCTCTGAACTAGTTGGCTGAGGACGATGCTCATGGTACCGATGGGAACAAATCCCTGCGATCCATTTTTGGGATTCGTCAACAAACCAACTACTACCTTATTGGGGCTCCATCCTTGAGCAATGATATGGCCATAGGCAAGGGGAATCTCTGCAAAGGTCCAGCCGTTGTAAAACTGAGCGTTGTACCATGCTATCTTTGACCCCCGCTGCTGTTCGAGCAGCTTATAACTGAACCCGGAAAGATGTCGAAAACCCTCGACAAGTGCCGTTGCCACAGGTGCAAGTGTGATCAGAAACCCATCGCCAAAGTCGGCATGCAGCCGGTCAATTAACCGCACGATTCCCGGAAGAGAAGTTTCTTCCTCCACGTCTAAATCGAGTCCATCCAGCTGCCGTCTGCGGATCAATTCGCAGAGCGGGGCATAATATGCCTCGAAGTCCGCCTGACTTCCGTCTAGACGGATATAGCTTCCCCGCGCGGCCCCTCCTAGCATTCCCAAAACACGAGTTCCAGCTTCCTGAGTCGCGCGTACATCTGCCCACAAAGGCTCAAAGAGTGGCGCGTCAGGGGGGTCGTTGTTAAGTGTGATCTTGTTGGGATCTTCGTTGAGGTGAATGGCTGCAATGATCACATGTGTAGCTCCAGCACCGCTGGCCAGAAGAGGCTGCATAGATACATAATCCCCATTTGGTAAAAAATGTGTCTGGTGGTAACAGACTACGCGATGTGGATCGGATCCGGAGCGTCTCCGCCCCAATGGAACGGGAGGCATCTGAGGATAGAGGATATAAGAAGTGGTCGACGCGGGGCAGCGCCGGGGTGGGTACGAAACGAATGAATCCCACGGATTTTTGTAAGAACGTAAGTAGTTAGATGCGTGTTTTCGCAGTATCTATTCTATAAACGGTTCCGCGTTTGCTTCGACGACTTCGACGTTTCTGTTGAAGATAGTGGCATGCGGGGTTTCAGCGAGTAGAGAGTAGGAAACCGTAGGAAGTTTATACAAATGGACATAAGAAGCGCTGAAAAACGGTTCAAATATAGATAGCTCGTTCTTTCTTGTAGAAGAAAAGGGCTACAACGCCTTCGAGTGTTTATATGGAAAGTGCCATCGTTGGTTCCGCCCAATGGGAGCCTTCCCGCTGTTAAAATAAGATCGGCACGTGGCCCGCAAAGTTCCCGCTTCTTAGTAAGCATCTCTATTTTAACGACTTTGACTCCAACCTCGAGTTCTCCGACAACAACCACGATTCCGGGCTACTTATGTTTCTTACTTGCCAGCTCTTATTCATGGCTACGATGTCTTAGGGGACTGATAGCCGCTCGCCTTAGGCTGAGCCGTTACCTTACGATCGGTTCCAGAGGTTTCCGCCTCCGCAGCAAGGGCAGTCTCACGCTTGCAACCTCCATGTATGGTTCCTCTGGGATCATTCTTTGGGGTTTCTTATGCCGTTGGAGGTCAATGGTGTCACGAGATGCAGGTTATCGGGCTCTTGCGTAGTCAAGATGGCACTCAAAACACAATTTTTCAAGACGCTCATTAATACCTCGACCAAGACAGTTTATCTCATTGGAAGGCCTTGTCGACGATTATGTTACAAGAATATACTACACTAATATGGCCGAACTACCCCCGTTGATTACCACGCGGTGTGTCCCCCATCAATTACCAGAGTGCCTCCAGTCATGAAACTGCTAGCATCACTCAGCATGAATATGGTTGCCCCTGTGAATTCTTCGGGAATGGCTAGACGGTGCAACATATTCTCGCTCTCCCATATCTTCCGAAGCCCCGGAACCTCGTCGAAGTTTTTCTGAACCATTGGCGTAACGATGTGTCCTGGACACAGCGAATTGACACGGATGCCTTTCATTCCCCATTCCATTGCCAGATTTCGCCCGAGTTGGATGACGGCCGCCTTTGAGGAGTTATAAACGGGTGAATTCAGCCCCTTGTTCGCGATAAGTCCACTCATGCTCGCCACCAGGACAATCGAACCACCGCGGCCATGAGCCATCATCTGCCGAGCGGCTGCATTGGCGGACATGAAGACGCCTGTATAGTTGATGTCGAGCATCTCCGTGACGGCGGCCGCTGTATAGTCCACTGCTTCAGTGATTTGCTGTATCCCAGCTGCTGCCACCAAGCCGTCCAGACGGTCCTTTGTCGCCGCAATCTTCTGGATAGTGCTGTTAAGGCAGGCACCATCCCGGACATCGACGTGGTGGTAATGCAATGACCCGACATGTTCTACCTCGGCAAGTTTCTGCGAAACTAGGAAGTCCGGGTGTGGCTCGGGCAGTCGGTCGAGACAATGAACTGCTTGGTGAGTAGTGCAAACAAAAAATGCGAATTTTAATCAATATAAATTTAGAAAGAGGATATACATACCGTCCGCCCCAGCTTCGACTATCGCCTCGGCCATGACCAATCCCAGACCCCTGCCGCCTCCAGTGACGACATAGACTCGATCACGCAAACTGAAGTTTGGGTATTTCCTCTGCGGTTTCGGGTATTCAGTTCTTCTTT